TCTTGAACAATATCGACAAAAACAGTCTGCATTTCTATTCCCATTTCTTTATATATATGGATGTATTTTAAAATGATCTGTATATTTTAATTCTAGTGAGGAGAATGATAATATTCAATATTACTAGCCAGTATTTTGTACATTACATTTTTTTGTTGGTGACCATGTTCCTGAATTGTAAGATGAATTCACTTAGGTACCCCAAGGGTGATGAACGTTTAAGGCTAAAGTTTTTTGGAAACATTAAAAATAATTTAATTGACAATAAAAAAGTGTGGGGAAAAATCCTAAATTATCAGTTTAAACATTTTTGACAATTTTGAGAACTTACAAAATTTTTCTCATTAGATTAGGTAACACCATTTTACAACTTTAACAAATGAAATTCATATACTGATGATGTATATTTGTTTAGATTTTTAAAACTATTTTAACAGGAGTAATTAACATCCTAATTTTCTAAGTGATAACTGTGAAAGCTGGAATGTTGGTAGCTTATGTAAAATTTCTAAAGTAGCCAGTGTAGATGTAACTAACACATATTATTATTTACTTGTCAAGAGTTAATATTTAAATAATTTAGCTTCATCAGCTTTTATTAAGTTCTGCTGTGTCATTTTGACCCTGAGAAGGACACAAATATACTATTTATCCATCCAATAAATGTTGCTGAATATGTACTCAATACAATGAATTATGCTACAAATGATGAAAATCAAATGAACTGTTTCTATTCTCCAGAATGTTTATATAGAGTTGGGAGCAGGTGAAAATTCCTACACATAAAACTGACAAAAATTTTGCTATATGCCATAAGATAGATATTAAATAGTTTCTAGATCTAAAAGATGTGTAAAGAAAGATTATATAGCCATGGACATCATCACAAATATGGAAAAGGTAGCACTTAAAAAGAGCCTTGGAACATGGACAGTAAAGGAATTATTAAAAATAGTTTCCTTCCAAAAAAAAAAATTTTCCTTTTCTCCAAAGGATTGCCTAATCAGTTTCATGAAGCATATTCATAAGGATACAGTTTTTGTCTCCTACTCCTCTTTCAACTTAAATAGACTTGCGTAATATTTTCTAAATAATGTTTAGGCAACATACAATTATTATTTGACACAACTTTGCTCCAGAAGCTGCCTTTATGTTTAACTGTTTAAGTAAACGATATCGAGATGGAATTAAAAGAAATTTTAATACTCACCTTAATAATTATTTGTTAAATGTGGCTGTAATTAAAATGCAAAAAAAAAGTCAATTTTGCTTCTTTTGATTATCACTTTTTATTTTTGGCCTCCCCATATATGTTGTGGATTCACGGTACTTTCAAGTACAAATTTTATTTTCTGACCACAATATAAATATCCCTTGCCACAGGGCTTGACAGAAGGAGTGTCCTCAAAAAAAAAAAAAAAAATACCCAGTTTTTTCCAAATGCATTCAGATTAAATCCAAAGTCCTTATCACGGACTACAAACTTTTTCTTACACTTCTTCTTCTTTGGTTAGAATGCTTTTCCTGCAATATTTAGAAGCAGATAGAAGAGTTTCCCAAGTGCAAGAAATTATAAGTAGATTAGTATGGATGGAGACAGTGAGTGTGGGAGAAGACCATATTTGAAGGATTTCTTTTTGTGTGGAAACTTGCAGACTATGCTAGCATTTTGTAATAAAATTAATTGGAATTTCCCAAAAATGACATGATCAAATGCTGTTGAGAAGTATGGCAACAAGATGACTGCAATCTTAACAAAACCAATTTCAGGGGAGTGGACTATGCCAATGTGTGATTTAAAATAGGAACTAGAAGTGCATGTATGGAAAAATAATTTAAGAAATTGTGTTCTGAAGGGTAGCAAAACTGTTTGATAGCTACAGAGAGAACTGAGATCAAGTGAGATTGATAGTTTATTGTTGTTATTTGTTTATTGTGCTTCACTTTGTTTCCATTGAAAAATTCTGGAAAACTGTATTGAGGTCATATGAATGACTAGGTGAGAGATAGAGATTAAGAGAAAGAGAGAGAGAGAGAGAGAGAGAGAGAGAGACAGAAACTGAGTATGTAAAAGGGATAGTAGATAATTTGAAAGATTACTCTCAGAGAATAGAGATGAGGTTCTTAATTCAAATAAAGATACTTTTCATTGGTAGAAGCAAAAACACATTTCAATTTTTCATAAGAAAGAAGGGAGAGAGGGTGGCTACAAGTGCACATAGGTTTGGAGATTTGGTGATAGGAAAATAAGCAAGTTTCTTTAATGACTTCTATTTTCTCGGCACACAGAAAAATGTACCAGCGAGAGATCACAAAGGAATAGAGCTTCTAAGGAATAAGAAGAGAGAGGAGAAGCTACAAAATAATCATGCTGGTGCTGAAAACCAAAGTTAACTAAGGAAATAATACTAAAATTGTCTTGCAGCATTGTAGGTCCCATTTGGATTGGGGGCCATGATTTGAAGGCAATGAATAATTACATATACATGTATTTTTTTCTTGGAAAACATTGAGCTCACAGTTTTCCTCTCTATACCGTTATGTGAATTTCTTTAACCTCAAAATAAATAATACCTTAAGCATAATCATTATCTTCCCCCAAACTCATTTCATACCTGGAGTTCTCTGAGAAAATGGCTCCATCCCTATTCCTGTCTAATCCATTACCCACGCTGATCTGTCAAACATCATTGTGATCTTAGTATTTCCCTGCTTAAAATTTGTGTAATGACCTCAAACAATAAAACATCTAAGGTGTGACCTGGTATCCTTTTCCCTCTCTAACTTTATCTCTGCCATTTTAAGTCTACTATCACCCTGATCTTTTAGTTTTCTCTATCTCCTCGTTTGCTCTCCACCGGTTTTCTTTGCAAGGATTTTGCCCCTCTAATGCACATTAATGCACTCTAATGCCCCCCCCCTTAATGCAAATGCAAATTGGATAATTTTCCTTTTTAATTTTTTGTTTTAATCTCAGCAGAGACTCAGCTTCCTTAAGAAGTCTTTTTGATATTCCAGTCTAAATTAGGTATCAATTTTCACTTCCATGCTCTTTCTTTTTTTCTATCATAATCATATTTATAATTATTCATGTAATACTGTTAAGACTCATAAAGGCAGACACATGTCTATCTTATTTACCTCTGTAACCTAGTACCAAGCAAAATTTCTGTCCTACTCATCTGCTGAAAGGATTTCGTTGAACTGCTGGTGAGAAAGATACACTTACCACCTTAACTTACTTTTACATTTCTTTCTGTTTCCAAAGTGTCTATGGAAGGTTAAATAACAGTGTTGTATATGGTATCAAAATAAGTTTTTAAGTTAACAGGCATTCATTAAAAGAAAATAAATGCCTTTTGTTTCATAAATGATCACTTATTTCCAAATAGGCAGAATTGTGGATTGACACTTCATGTCTTTGAAAATAAATAGTGTTTAAAGTGAGAACGGTTTTACTGTAGAGGATGAAAGAAGAAAAAATGGATAACTTAGCAATGAATGGTATTGGCTGCTACAGCAATCCTATTATAAGAAAAATAATATTTTAAATCTTTTCCTAATCATTTGACTACAAGAATGTCCCTAATACTATCAAAAAGCTCTTCTTATCTTTCAAATACCTTCACATTCTCTCTGAATTTATAAGAGCATTAAGGCTTTGCTATCGCTATAATTAGATCTACTGAAAAAAGTCCCTTCTCATTTTTGTCAATTCCTGATTATTCATGGTGATGGCAAAAAGCCTTAGCATGGATTACTAAAAACCCAAATCATTTATAGCACATGAAAATTAGCCAAAATTCATTATGTCTATCACAATTTTCTGTTGAAATACAAGTTCCCCTTTCAGCTTTAGCAAATTTCCGTTGACGCCTGAATAAATGCTCTTAAGTGTATGTACTGAATTCTGAAAATAGAAAAGATATATACGGTTGATTAGTTTTATGTAATCTAAGCCCTAAAAGGTAATCAAACCATCAGTTTGGTGGTTTTCAATTGGCCCACATATTGAAAGTTGGAATAAAAGTTTGGTTTTATTAGCCATGCAGAAGAAAGAAAGATACCAGAGGTTAGGGAATGAGCAGAAATTAAAAAAAAAAAAAAAGATAAACTCTATTAACACTTATTTGACCAACAGAAATGTTAACACAGATACCCAAAGAACATTTTCTTTATGTGATTTTGAATAGTTCAGTCACAATCTTCATGCTATGTCTTTCATTCATTTATGTGTTACATAACAATTTAGGATCGCCTACTGTGGTCGAACACTGTGATAAGTATTATGAATGTAAAATTGAATAAGACACATTTTCTATCCTTTATAGATCATAATAATTTGTACAGTATAAATATGACTGTATCAGAATAGATGCTTGTTGAATCAAATAGTTCTAAAATGGAGTAAAATGTAAAGTAAATGCCTAACATCGGACTCCTCCTGAAATCAATATAATGTGAATGATACACCAACTCACCCATGCTTTCTCCCAAATATAACAAAATTTATGAAGCTCTTAACATCTACTAATTATTAATTAATTAATCAATTAATTAATTATTTAATTTAATAACAAAATTTCAAGCACCTACTATGCACCTTACTGTTTTATGAGCATCGGGGAAAATTAGCATTTCTTCAACACACTTGTATTAATAACAGAGTTAATGAAAACTATACTCAAAAGACTACTTACGTTTTAAGTACATATAAGTATTTATCTTTCATAATATAATTTCTTATAAGCTCCTGCAGCATAGAAGTCACTGAAAATACACATATTCCAGACATGTTTAATTTAAATACTTAAATATTTGATTATCTGAATGAATAGGCTGGTATTTATGATTCCGAAGCTTGTGAAACATTTTTGAAATTAATGCAAATATTGTGTTATATGTAATCTGTGTATACTAGTCAAAATAATGGCATTATTCACCAAACAAACACTGCATCTGTTCCAAGGAAAAGCTTAGTCTCTTATTTCTTTTGACAGTGTGCAGACCTGGGTTCTTCAAAGCCTCACCTCACAGCCAGACCTGCAGCAAATGTCCACCTCACAGTTTTACCCATGAGGAAGCTTCAACCTCTTGTGTCTGTGAAAAGGATTATTTCAGGAGGGAGTCTGATCCACCCACAATGGCATGCACAAGTAAGGAAACCCACTGATACTTGGTGATCCGAACTTTCACCACTCCGAAGAAAGAGCATGATGGAGCCTGTTGCATTCTATCACCATTTTCCCGAAAACAGGCATAATGTTTAATCTTCCAAAATAGCTATTTTTTTTTTTTTACCAAATTTCGATTTTCTTGAGTAAGCTTTGGAAAGTTTGAGTCTCTTTTATCACTCGCTGTTAGAAGCATTCATTTTCCCTAATTTCAAATTCAACATCTAAGACAGATAAAGTATATTTTATTTTATTTTCTGATTTCTTTTAGTGTTCAGGATGGCTAAACATGACTTTGATGAACCCACTTCGCTATTCACAGTAATTTTTTTTTCATTCTTCTCCCAACCCAGGCTTCTGATCACATAAGCATACAATAAATGGCACTTGTGCCTTTTTTTTTTTTTCTTACCTGCCACACTAAACTACAAGGGCCAGTGAGAAGGTCATCTATAAAAAAAGGTAGGAAACACCACGTGGAGTGGTGAGGGTTGGCAAATAGGATTTAGGAGTCAAATATAAAACCAAATTTTTAGCTAGGACTTTCAAGCAGTTGTCATGTTTCTTATTAGTGAGTGCCCCTAACTCTAATTAATTATAGCACATAATCATATCATCAGAAAAATGAATAGTAAATATTTAATTCCAACATTCGCAGTGGAAGCATCCACATTCTTCAATGTCTTTGGTGTTTTGTTTTTCTAGCGTTCCACAGATTTCTGAGAAAGAAGCACATTTATGTATTTGACAGAAATCCTTTCATAAATTTTCCACATTCAGAGTCTATGGCAAATGAAACAAAAACTCAAAATGAAAGGGAAGAAAGTAAATCCCCTCTCCTCATTACATTCAATATCCATGACCTTGCCTTGTTTTATTATTTTTGATCCCAGGAAGATGTCGTTGATCTCAAAGATGATGATAAAACTTTTTGAAATTTAGTATTTATTCTAGGACGTTCATTCTACTATTAAATATAAATAGGAATACAATTCCTTTAATAAATTGTCACAAACTGAAATTTTATCTGAATTTCAAGGTCTGAATTCCATAGTGTCAGTGAGACATATTTTCATAATTTTTCAAATCATTGATATTAATTAGCTTTGTATTGCTAAAAACAATTCTTTTATCACCAGACTGATAGTTTTACGGGTTAGATGGTTACTAATTATAAACAATTCCTATTCAAATAAGTAAATGACATTATTGTATACACTTTGGGGAGGTTGCATTTGAATAGAGGAGATAAAACTATGAAAGTGATACACTTTGGTTACAGTAGAAATGATTTCAATTATTCAGAGCAAAAGGATGTCCAAGTAGAGGGAAATGTGGATAGACAATAGGTTGGTAAATTAGGAAGAGAAAACCATGTCTTGAATTATCTTTTAAATTTCCTTAGTTTTCTAATAATTATTTTCTTTAAGTGATCCAGCCATGATCTTTCTCTTTCTCAGCACAGAATTGAGTCTCCCTTTCTGTAAGTTTCTTAGGTTTGGGATGAGACTGTGCTCTGGTGGCAGGGACTGCTTCGTCCTCTTAAAGGACTTGAGGCTTCAAATTTTCTGTTTCCAGGTGTGTGAATTTCTAATACTGTGTTTCAAAAGAGCACTAATTTGTACACATTTCTCAAAAGACTGTTGGGACTTGTATAGAAGATCTTGCTAACATATATTCTGTGAGCGCATACGTTCCGTTTTTAGTTGCATTCATAACACCACAAATACTGCAAATGTTTCCCTTGAATGGGTGGCTTGATTGATGTTCACATGTTCACATGAGTATCTTGAATTTTTCTTTCACTTTGGATCTTTCGAATTAAATTTATGGTTCCAATTCCTTCTATCTATCATCTATCTATCTATCTATCTTTCTATCTAAATCTGGAAAATAGAATGTTATAAACTTATAGGAAAAGAAAAACAAAAAAGTTTCTGATGAATCTGCTTAAATCAAGGGTACATAGCCCTGTTTTGGTTCACATATCACATGTATTAGCAGGCTGTGGAATTTCATTACATTATTTTTAGGTGCATGACCATCTGAGCTGCTACTTTCTACCTCTGCTTTAGGGCTTCACTTGATTTTGAGTTTCCCTTTGACATTAAGAGGCAGATGTGTCCCCACAAAATTTTGAGGGGCTGTTACTGGCACAACCAGAAGAAAAAGGAGAGTCAGACTCTGATGTATTTGTACAGATTTAGAGGAAAGGTGTTAAATTTGGTTTCATTTCAGTTGGCAGGGAGGAAAAAAAGTTTGATATCTTTCTGAATGAGACATATTTCAAGTCTGTTTACCTTCACTTCAGAAGTAAACCTGTAACATTTTGACCTCAAACAACATTTTCTCCGTAACTTTCCACTATTAAATCAGTAAAAAATTAAGACTTGTATTTCCATCTTAAGTAATTGTTTCAACTTAAAAGTAACTGTTTTGTGTTGAAATGTGTGAGGTTGTATGTATGGCAAAATTCACAGAGTTCATCCATAAATGTAGTCAAGGTGGGGATTATTTTTCCAAACATGACAACTCTTGGGTTATGGGGTCCTTTAATTTAAAAGACATTTTGTAAATACCAGGTAGCTTTTTTTTAATCACCTTATTTAAATTTAGTCTTCAACAGTCATGGCTTAATGAATGTTAGGTAGAAATTAATAATAATCTCTATGTTTAAAACAACAAATATTAAGATAAATAGGCTATGCCATCCCAAACAGCTTAATTTATGCTTATGAACCATTCAGCTACCACTATAGTCCATTCTGTTCTCTGTTGGGAAATCTTTACTTGTCAAGTCTGAAACAAATAAAAATGTATTTTTACTTTGGGAACATCTGACCATATAACATTAACACCTAACTGAAGTTATAACGCTAAGTATTTGGTGATCAACTGTAAAGTAGACATTATGCAATTCCTTTTTTAAAAGACTTAATTTTTTACAGCAGTTTTAGGTTGACAACAACATTCAGAGAAAGGCAGAGACTTTCCATATACTCCTGGCCCACACACATGCAAAGCCTCCCCCCTAATCAACACCCCCCACCAGCATGGTATACAGTTGTCACAGCTGATATAGAATTGATTTTAGTTCTCTTCAGTAAGCTAATTATTAGTTTCAGAAATAAAGTAACATACAAAAAGATATTGTTATTACTTATATATCCTCATTCTGCTGCTCCTTCAAGATCTGAACACTTTCATTCTTACCCTCATGGTGTTTTTGAGAGTTATTTATAAAATATATTTCTGATTTCCCATTAAGTAAAATTCACAGTTTACGGAGCCACAGTACTACAACAATTATCAAAGTAAGTGAAGTTTTATTACACATTGTAGTGTCCGACTACTTAAATTCTAGATTTTTCTTGACACATGAGAAAGATTTTGAATGCTGTTGGTGATTTATCTGTGGATATGCAATTAATTTTGAGGTAAGCTAAGGCTGTTTTACTTGCTGCAAAATTTGTAGTCAAGAGCCATACTGGCAAATCCTATTTTCACTTGTGCTCATTGCTTAGTAAATCCTTCATGTGTACTTCCTAGGTTACTGGGACAGATCTCAATGAGGAAGTAATCAGTTCAATCCCCAAGGAGAATTTTTCCTTGGATTTACCAAAGGACTTACCACTTTTTGAATGTATAATTTTTTATATAACATTATTTTTGCATACATAGTTTTACTTCATACTACCTTATATTTACAGTAAGCAAAACATCTGTTTTAATGAAATGAGTAGTTATAACAATGCCGAGATAAGTTATTCCTATAGGGTATAAATCCCACTATTGTCCCTACAAAACCTGAACAAGATCTTTCACTTATTACAAATTGATGACTGTTGCATTCTCTCTACTTAAAAGATTGATTGCAAATCTATTTTTTTTTCTTCAGACCAGGGACTTGTGTAGTAAACAATGCTTAATGTTGTCATCTTAAAATATGTTTTTCTCACTTTACTTTGCAAACCAGGACCCCCCTCTGCTCCTCGGAATGCCATCTCAAATGTTAATGAAACTAGTGTCTTTCTGGAATGGATTCCCCCTGCTGACACTGGTGGAAGGAAAGATGTCTCATATTATATTGCATGCAAGAAGTGCAACTCCCATGCAGGTGTGTGTGACGAGTGTGGAGGTCATGTCAGGTACCTCCCCCGGCAAATCGGCCTGAAAAACACCTCTGTCATGATGGTGGATCTGCTCGCTCACACAAACTATACCTTTGAGATTGAGGCAGTGAATGGAGTGTCCGACTTGAGCCCAGGAGCCCGGCAATATGTGTCTGTAAATGTAACCACAAATCAAGCAGGTAAGTGTGATGTCCAACCAAATCATGTACCTTGGGCCGAGCTCTGTCAACTTTCTCCGTAGCTAAGTGAGGGCTAAACTGTGAGATCTATAACAGAACTTCTCATAAACCAGAGGGCCAGGACTTAAAGTAGAATACATCTCAAAATGCTTCATATAAAAATAAAAGCTAGGGCTTTCTTAGCACTCTCATCCATGGACAGGGGGTTAAGAATAAGATAATTTTCCATTGAATTTTTTTTATTACTAAAAAGACATTTCTGGCTCAAATTCATTCGTAGCAAAATTTTATCTCAAATTTCACACATGCAATTATCGTAGCTCAAATCTACATATTTTGTTGTTTTGTTTACTTCATGTTTTTTGTTTATTTTATTAATTTAACAGATAATCAATCGGGTTCTGTTTGCTTGTTTGTTTGGCACCACAGCTGAATTTTCTTTGCATATTGAAATAGGCTTTTCTTGTCATTTCTATTATTGTAATAATAAAAACGTACAAAATGAATTTTTCTTCGCTAAATCTACTTATCAAAATTAGAATAACTGTGAACTATACATGAAAACACATTTATGTTCCATATAAAGCTCTTGAAATTCCTCGAGAGTAATTATTAGATGGTAGAGAATTCAGGTCTGCTTGTGCTAAAATTCCCCCATAGTTTCCACTCA